CAGTGAACAGCGCAGGGAACAGGGAGCAGTGAACAGCGCAGGGAACAGGGAGCATTGAACTGCGTAAGGAACAGAGAGCAGTGAACAGCGCAGGGAACAGAGAGCAGTGAACTGCGTAGGGAACAGAGAGCAGTGAACTGCGTAGGGAACAGGGAGCAGTGAACAGCGCAGGGAACAGAGAGCAGTGAACTGCGCAGGGAACAGAGAGCAGTGAACTGCGTAGGGAACAGGGAGCAGTGAACAGCGTAGGGAACAGGGAGCAGTGAACTGCATGGGGAACAGGGCGCAGTGAACTGCGTAGGGAACAGGGAGCAGTGAACTGCGTAGGGAACAGGGAGCAGTGAACTGCGTAGGGAACAGGGAGCAGTGAACTGCGCAGGGACCAGGGAGCAGTGAACTGCGTAGGGAACAGAGAGCAGTGAACTGCGTAGGGAACAGAGAGCAGTGAACTGCGTAGGGAACAGAGAGCAGTGAACTGCGTAGGGAACAGGGAGCATTGAACAGCGTAGGGAACAGGGAGCAGTGAACAGCGCAGGGAACAGGGAGCAGTGAACTGCAAAGGGAACAGGGAGCAGTGAACTGCGTAGGGAAGAGAGAGCAGTGAACTGCATAGGGAACAGGGAGCAGTGAACTGCATAGGGAACAGGGAGCAGTGAACAGCGTAGGGAGCAGTGAACAGCGCAGGGAACAGGGAGCAGTGAACTGCAAAGGGAACAGGGAGCAGTGAACTGCGTAGGGAACAGAGAGCAGTGAACTGCGTAGGGAACAGGGAGCAGTGAACTGAATAGGGAACAGGGAGCAGTGAACAGCGTAGGGAACAGGGAGCAGTGAACAGCGCAGGGAACAGGGAGCAGTGAACTGCAAAGGGAACAGGGAGCAGTGAACAGCGTAGGGAACAGAGAGCAGTGAACTGCGCAGGGAACAGGGAGCAGTGAACTGCGTAGGGAACAGAGAGCAGTGAACTGCGTAGGGAACAGAGAGCAGTGAACTGCGTAGGGAACAGAGAGCAGTGAACTGCGTAGGGAACAGAGAGCAGTGAACAGCGAAGCAAACAGAGAGCAGTGAACTGCGCAGGGACCAGGGAGCAGTGAACAGCGTAGGGAACAGAGAGCAGTGAACTGCGTAGGGAACAGAGAGCAGTGAACTGCGTAGGGAACAGAGAGCAGTGAACTGCGTAGGGAACAGAGAGCAGTGAACTGCGTAGGGAACAGAGAGCAGTGAACTGCGTAGGGAACAGAGAGCAGTGAACAGCGAAGCGAACAGAGAGCAGTGAACTGCGCAGGGACCAGGGAGCAGTGAACAGCGTAGGGAACAGAGAGCAGTGAACTGCGTAGGGAACAGGGAGCAGTGAACTGCGTAGGGAACAGAGAGCAGTGAACTGCCCAGGGAACAGAGAGCAGTGAACTGCGCAGGGAACAGAGAGCAGTGAACAGCGAAGCGAACAGAGAGCAGTGAACTGCACAGGGAACAGAGAGCAGTGAACTGCGTAGGGAACAGAGAGCAGTGAACTGCGCAGAGAACAGAGAGCAATGAACTGCGCAGGGAACAGAGAGCAGTGAACAGCGAAGCGAACAGAGAGCAGTGAACTGCAAAGGGAACAGGGAGCAGTGAACTGCAAAGGGAACAGGGAGCAGTGAACTGCGTAGGGAACAGGGAGCAGTGAACGGCGTAGGGAACAGGGAGCAGTGAACTGCATGGGGAACAGGGAGCAGTGAACTGCGTAGGGAACAGGGAGCAGTGAACAGCGCAGGGAACAGGGAGCAGTGAACAGCGTAGGGAACAGGGAGCAGTGAACAGCGTAGGGAACAGGGAGCAGTGAACTGCATGGGGAACAGGGAGCAGTGAACTGCGTAGGGAACAGAGAGCAGTGAACTGCGTAGGGAACAGAGAGCAGTGAACTGCGTAGGGAACAGGGAGCAGTGAACAGCGAAGGGAACAGGGAGCAGTGAACTGCAAAGGGTACAGGGAGCAGTGAACAGCGCAGGGAACAGGGAGCAGTGAACTGCAAAGGGAACAGGGAGCAGTGAACAGCACAGGGAACAGGGAGCAGTGAACTGCAAAGGGAACAGGGAGCAGTGAACTGCAAAGGGAACAGGGAGCAGTGAACTGCGTAGGGCACAGGGAGCAGTGAACTGCGCAGGGAACAGGGAGCAGTGAACTGCGTAGGGAACAGGGAGCAGTGAACTGCGTAGGGAACAGGGAGCAGTGAACAGCACAGGGAACAGGGAGCAGTGAACAGCATAGGGAACAGGGAGCAGTGAACAGCATAGGGAACAGGGAGCAGTGAACTGCATAGGGAACAGGGAGCAGTGAACTGCATAGGGAACAGGGAGCAGTGAACTGCATAGGGAACAGGGAGCAGTGAACTGCGTAGGGAACAGGGAGCAGTGAACTGCATAGGGAACAGGGAGCAGTGAACTGCATAGGGAACAGGGAGCAGTAAACTGCATAGGGAACAGGGAGCAGTGAACTGCATAGGGAACAGGGAGCAGTGAACTGCATAGGGAACAGGGAGCAGTGAACTGCATAGGGAACAGGGAGCAGTGAACTGCATAGGGAACAGGGAGCAGTGAACTGCGTAGGGAACAGGGAGCAGTGAACAGGGAGCAGTGAACTGCATAGGGAACAGGGAGCAGTGAACTGCGCAGGGAACAGGGAGCAGTGAACTGCGTAGGGAACAGGGAGCAGTGAACTGCGTAGGGAACAGGGAGCAGTGAACAGCACAGGGAACAGGGAGCAGTGAACAGCATAGGGAACAGGGAGCAGTGAACAGCATAGGGAACAGGGAGCAGTGAACTGCATAGGGAACAGGGAGCAGTGAACTGCATAGGGAACAGGGAGCAGTGAACTGCATAGGGAACAGGGAGCAGTGAACTGCGTAGGGAACAGGGAGCAGTGAACTGCATAGGGAACAGGGAGCAGTGAACTTTATAGGGAACAGGGAGCAGTAAACTGCATAGGGAACAGGGAGCAGTGAACTGCATAGGGAACAGGGAGCAGTGAACTGCATAGGGAACAGGGAGCAGTGAACTGCATAGGGAACAGGGAGCAGTGAACTGCGTAGGGAACAGGGAGCAGTGAACAGGGAGCAGTGAACTGCATAGGGAACAGGGAGCAGTGAACTGCAAAGGGAACAGGGAGCAGTGAACTGCGTAGGGAACAGGGAGCAGTGAACTGCGTAGGGAACAGGGAGCAGTGAACTGCAAAGGGAACAGGGAGCAGTGAACTGCAAAGGGAACAGGGAGCAGTGAACTGCGTAGGGAACAGGGAGCAGTGAACTGCGCAGGGAACAGAGAGCAGTGAACAGCACAGGGAACAGGGAGCAGTGAACTGCATAGGGAACAGGGAGCAGTGAACTGCGTAGGGAACAGGGAGCAGTGAACAGCGCAGGGAACAGGGAGCAGTGAACTGCGTAGGGAACAGGGAGCAGTGAACTGCGCAGGGAACAGAGAGCAGTGAACTGCATAGGGAACAGGGAGCAGTGAACTGCGTAGGGAACAGGGAGCAGTGAACTGCGTAGGGAACAGGGAGCAGTGAACAGCGCAGGGAACAGGGAGCAGTGAACTGCATAGGGAACAGGGAGCAGTGAACAGCGCAGGGAACAGGGAGCAGTGAACTGCATAGGGAACAGAGAGCAGTGAACAGCGCAGGGAACAGGGAGCAGTGAACTGCGCAGGGAACAGGGAGCAGTGAACTGCATAGGGAACAGGGAGCAGTGAACAGCGCAGGGAACAGGGAGCAGTGAACTGCGCAGGGAACAGAGAGCAGTGAACTGCGTAGGGAACAGGGAGCAGTGAACTGCATAGGGAACAGGGAGCAGTGAACAGCGCAGGGAACAGGGAGCAGTGAACTGCGCAGGGAACAGGGAGCAGTGAACTGCGCAGGAAACAGGGAGCAGTGAACAGCGCAGGGAACAGGGAGCAGTGAACTGCGCAGGGAACAGGGAGCAGTGAACTGCATAGGGAACAGGGAGCAGTGAACAGCGCAGGGAACAGGGAGCAGTGAACTGCGCAGGGAACAGGGAGCAGTGAACTGCGTAGGGAACAGGGAGCAGTGAACTGCATAGGGAACAGGGAGCAGTGAACAGCGCAGGGAACAGGGAGCAGTGAACTGCGCAGGGAACAGGGAGCAGTGAACTGCGCAGGAAACAGGGAGCAGTGAACAGCGCAGGGAACAGGGAGCAGTGAACTGCGTAGGGAACAGAGAGCAGTGAACAGCGCAGGGAACAGGGAGCAGTGAACAGCGCAGGGAACAGGGAGCAGTGAACTGCGTAGGGAACAGAGAGCAGTGAACAGCGCAGGGAACAGGGAGCAGTGAACTGCGCAGGGAACAGAGAGCAGTGAACAGCGCAGGGAACAGGGAGCAGTGAACTGCGCAGGGAACAGAGAGCAGTGAACTGCGCAGGGAACAGGGAGCAGTGAACTGCATAGGGAACAGGGAGCAGTGAACTGCGTAGGGAACAGGGAGCAGTGAACTGCGCAGGGAACAGGGAGCAGTGAACAGCGCAGGGAACAGGGAGCAGTGAACTGCGCAGGGAACAGGGAGCAGTGAACTGCGTAGGGAACAGGGAGCAGTGAACTGCGCAGGGAACAGGGAGCAGTGAACAGCGCAGGGAACAGGGAGCAGTGAACTGCGCAGGGAACAGGGAGCAGTGAACAGCGCAGGGAACAGAGAGCAGTGAACTGCGCAGGGAACAGGGAGCAGTGAACTGCGCAGGGAACAGGGAGCAGTGAACTGCGTAGGGGACGGGGAGCAGTGAACTGCGCAGGGAACAGGGAGCAGTGAACAGCGCAGGGAACAGGGAGCAGTGAACTGCGCAGGGAACAGAGAGCAGTGAACTGCGCAGGGAACAGGGAGCAGTGAACTGCATAGGGAACAGGGAGCAGTGAACTGCGTAGGGAACAGGGAGCAGTGAAATATGCAGAGTGGGGGACCTTAATCAAACTGTGTTAGAACAAGGCCTGATAAATAACTTAAACGATAACAACAAAAAATCTTACAATATTGAAATTTGGGTACATCGTGTTCCTCTTTGGATGTGTGGGATTCATACTCTTGAAGAAGACTAGCACATTTACTGTTCTCCTCCTGTTCTGCCAGATCAGATGGTTTATTCCCATCCTAGAAATAAAGCAGTAAACACTTTTATAAGGTTCCTCATTCAGCAATTGTGTAAAAAAAAAAACGTTAATTAAAAAAATTAAAAAGGCACTTTCAGCTTTCACTTAATTAAAAAAAAAAGAGTTAAATGTCTAGATCTATACAGATGGCCTCCATCCATACTGGTCAATACTGGAGATGTGAATGCACTGAATGCTTTACTTGATCTGTGAGGTTTGGGTTTCCACCGTTCCTTAAGAGTAATCTGAGATTCTGAAAACACCCCCAAGATGCAGCAATATGCAATGGAGTCAGATCCTCACTACTCCTAAAAAACAAAAACAACAACTGCATCTTCAACACAGCTATGTAGGAATCATGTTCAGTAATACTTCTTTGCCACGGGCATTATTCTATTATTACACTGAATGGCGTGAATGACCAATCATAGCAAAGCATTCCTAGAAAGCTAGCGTGTAACTGATATGATCATAGCATGGCAGTGCACCACTCGTGTCTAACGGTGTAACTGACCTGAGGTTCGGGTCGGCTCCGTGCTGAAGGAGGAGTTTCAGGCAACGCAGTCCTTTCTCAGACTCTTTACCTGAAGATAGATGAACCGCTGCCACGCCGTCCCGGATGATCCCGTTCGGATTAGCGCCCCGACACAGCAGAGACTCGACACGCCTGCATAACAATAACAAGATCACGCTCATATCTGCACGTGACAGCATGCAACAGTCCAACAAGTGCTGTGAACTGACCTTGGCTGCAGAAGAATACCCATTGCATGAAATATCAAATAAAGGTAAATTAAAAAAAGTCTAAATCTAAAGTTTAAAGGAGAACTCCGGCGCAAAATGAACCTTTGGTCTGATAAAACATTGGTACCTAGTCAACCGTTCTCTGAGATTTGTTTTCATGATAATCGAATGTAAAGAGTTTTATCTCTAAAAACTGTTTAGCGTATAACGCTAGTAATGGGGGCATTTAATAAGTAAAAAGAAATCGCTAGTTAATACCACTAACAAGACTCAAAATAGCCCCACACTAACACCGTAACATAATGAGGGTCTCTACATGCAAAACGAAGCATTGAGAACTTTGTAAGTGTACAGACCGTTTAATAAGAAGATAAAGATAAAGACAGTCCACTTCGTGTATACAGACAGGAGCCATCTTTGGAAAACAGTCTCGACTAGTCAAACCACGAACGCCATTCATACAGTTCAGCTCACTTAGCACGTCGTTCGTGGTTTGATTAGTCGAGACTGTTTTCCAAAGATGGCTCCTGTCTGTATACACGAAGTGGACTGTCTTTATCTTTATCTTCTTATTAAACGGTCTGTACACTTACAAAGTTCTCAATGCTTCGTTTTGCATGTAGAGACCCTCATTATGTTACGGTGTTAGTGTGGGGCTATTTTGAGTCTTGTTAGTGGTATTAACTAGCGATTTCTTTTTACTTATTAAATGCCCCCATTACTAGCGTTATACGCTAAACAGTTTTTAGAGATAAAACTCTTTACATTCGATTATCATGAAAACAAATCTCAGAGAACGGTTGACTAGGTACCAATGTTTTATTAGACCAAAGGTTCATTTTGCGCCGGAGTTCTCCTTTAAAGGGATACTCCACCGTTTTTTCATATTAAACTATGTTATTCTCTTATCTAAGACGAGTTGATACATACCTCTCTCGTCTCAGTGCGTGCACTACATCGCTCTGTCGGGCGGAGAGCTTTGAGAGCAGTTAGCTTAGCCCCATTCATTGTATATGGGCCAAACAGAGATGAAGTTAGAAGCGACCAAACACATCCACGTTTTCTCTATTTAAATATAGTTACACGAGTAGTTACACGACCAAGTATGGTGACACTAAATAAAATGTGGCGCATTTTATAAGCGGGTAAAATGGATAACTATAATGTATGGCGGAATAGCACTTATTGGGAGCACTTCGACTCAGCGCTGTAATATCTTCACTCGTGAAAAGTCCTCTCCCCCCTCTCCCTCTCCCTCTCCCTCTCCCTCTCCCTGTCATTTCCGTCAATAGAACCAACGTGACCTGCACGCCTGCAGTAGCCTAGTAGTTTTTTGTGCAGAGTTGACGGAGGGAGAGGGAGAGGGAGAGGGAGAGGGAGAGGGGGAGAGGACTTTTCACGAGTGAAGATATTACAGCGCTGAGTCGAAGTGCTCCCAATAAGTGCTATTCCGCCATACATTATAGTTATCCATTTTACCCGCTTATAAAATGCGCCACATTTTATTTAGTGTCACCATACTTGGTCGTGTAACTACTCGTGTAACTATATTTAAATAGAGAAAACGTGGATGTGTTTGGTCGCTTCTAACTTCATCTCTGTTTGGCCCATATACAATGAATGGGGCTAAGCTAACTGCTCTCAAAGCTCTCCGCCCGACAGAGCGATGTAGTGCACGCACTGAGACGAGAGAGGTATGTATCAACTCGTCTTAGATAAGAGAATAACATAGTTTAATTTGAAAAAACGGTGGAGTATCCCTTTAAAAAGCCATCTTTCACAATACAGTAATTCACACGATGATAAATAGCTGCTAACTTAAGTACAATTCTTGACATGACATGGTTAGATTCAGACGGTTATAAATAATTTAGAGATAATCACCATAATATTATTTATAATGAAACCGTCATTTTTAAAATATGGTATTACCGTAAAACTTCAAATAGTAGCCCGGGCTTTTATTTTCCCAAATCGTCGAACTGCACCGGCTTGTATTTGAGACAGGCGTCTATATGAGACCGGCCTTTATAATTTAGTGTTGATGTTGTTCATTGACTGTAGGCCTAGAGTCTCTAATCTCTAAACATCTCCAAATGCTCCTCGTGAAACTGCGGTCTTCCGATCTTTTACTATCGTGTCCATTGATTTTGATTAATATGCGCGAGGGAGAGAGAGAGCAGGGCAGCGCTCGTGTTGTTTGAAGACGTGAGAGTGCGCGCGCGCGGCCGGAGCGCTCTCTCTGCTCGTAACGCGCCCTGTCAAGCGCAGCAGTCATTCTATTCTACATCACTCACCGATCAAAAAAGGCTTTGGTGGGACAAAAATTTGCTTTGGGGGCCGCCCAAAAAGCGGACGATCTGACGGGTTTTAGAAGATTAAATACAAACCGAAACTAAAAAACAGACCCGGCCTCTATTTGAGACCGGCTTTTATTTACCCAAACCTGCAGCCACACCCGGCGTGTAAAAGAGACAGGCGTCTATTTGGGACTCGGCTATTATTTGAAGTTTTACGGTAATCATATTATGTATAAGTAAGGGATAATGTAGAGCGAGGCGGTTATAGCGAATACAACCCCGACAGGCGGATCAGGACCCGACGCGAAGGCCTGAAGGGGTTGCATTCGCTATAACGCCTCGCTCTACATTATCCTGCTTATTACATGGCTACCTACCAAATAAATCAATAATTTGACACAAAATATTGATTTAAAAAGGAGTTTATTGATTTAAAAACGATTGTATTGCTTCTCTACGGTTAGAATCCTGCGTCTACATTAGAATCCAACCATGCCATGTAATAATCATATAGCTATCATGTTATTGTTATCACTGTAAAGCCATATTACCTTTGTTTTTAAATTACTTTATTTATTCAAATTAAACATTAATGAAGGTGTTTTTACTGAATAAAAATAAATTTATTTTATTTATTAAAAGGAACAGAAAATAGTACAAACTTTGTTCAAGTAAGTGTTTTGATCAAGCATTAACTTAGATATTACACAAAACATATTACTTTAATTAAAGGATTTGTATCAATAACCTCAATATTATCTCATTTGCTTCACCACCTCATACATTTATTTTCCAAAAAAAGGGTTTCTCCATCAGTGTTCAATAAAAAGACACATTGAGCTCCGTTACAAATGTACAAAATTATCTATAATGACTTTAAAGTAAAATATTTATTACAGAGCACAAGCAATTCATGAAACCACTAAACCCTATTTCTGTTGTTTTGGCCATCAGAAATAGAAAATAATCATTTGTGTTTAGGTGACAGCTTGATCCCAACATGCCAACATGATTATCTTATTGTAAGACAGCATGGTTTTATTGTTTACTTGTTTAGCTTTTATAAATCTACAAGGACACTGGAAGTTTAAGTTATCCTAAAGTAAGAGTTTGAACAACGTGACTCAAAGCGTTATAGTTACTGAGATGCAGCCCGTTGTGATAAATAGACACTTATATTTAGAGTTCAAAAGTCAGTCCTTACCTGGCATCTGCCTCACTGACTGCATCGATCAGCAGAGCCTCTAACTGCGCCATTATTGTGAGTTAAACTGCTTCCATGCCATGTTTCTATGGTCTAAACTCTCAGCGAAAAGAACTCAAAAAGGTTCTTAAACATGTTTTTTGTCTTTGTTTTGATGAAGTTTCATCCTGAACAAGAGTGGTTATCCTCGCACCGCTTTCATCCACAACAAAATTCCCTCCATTCAGTTTTTCCCCTGCGGCCAAACGACACAGCGCCATCTGCCGTCGCGGAGGTGTAGTGACTCACAGAGACTCACAGCGCCATCTGCCGTCGCGGAGGTGTAGTGACTCACAGAGACTCACAGCGCCATCTGCCGTCGTGGAGGTGTGGTGACTCACTGAGACAACAGCGGCGGATGTTTGAATAATGTACACAAAAGCAGCGCTCATTGCATTTTAATAGTTACAGATGAATAAAAGGTCAGACCACCTACTTTGGGAACAACATTGTTTTTAATTCAGACAAGAAATATGAACTGCTTGATGGAGCTGATCTTAAAACGGTTAATCTGTTGATGATAAATCAATCTGGCACACTGACAGGTGTCCGCACGGTGGCGCAGTGGTGCAGCTCAGATAGGGTTAGGGTTAGGGCTAGGGTTTCTCCATGTAAAGGAGCAGCGAGTGAATCTGAGTCTCTCGAGGTTGAAAGTCTCTGGCACTACAAAGTAAATCTTACAGCATCCAGCAAAAGGCACAAGACAAACAAATGCTCAATAAATTATAATTAAAGCTATGATAAAACAATGCGTCAGCATAGACAGGTAAAGACATCGTGGAAATATTTTGTATTGAGAAAAAAAAGGGATACAGGCATGAATTAATTGTTCACGGTAAAACCAGCAACATGCATTAAGGAAGTACATATATTTAATGTGCAGACACAGTTCAGTTAGACTATTTTTGTTATTGTTGTATTGCTGTTTATCATTTATGTAATCTTTGCGACTGTCAGCAGAGGGCAGCACTTTCCTCTCACCATCAGATACACACAGAAATACCAACGAGAAAGAACACAAGCGACCCATAATGCACTGCAACCCGTGAGAATTGCCAGTCATCTTCTGTATTAGTGTGTGCGGTGTGGATTCAAGCGAGCTACTTATTTACATGCCTGATTATCGCATAACGAGACCGAACTCCACAATCTGAGCCTCAACATGAAAGAAGCGACGGCGAAGAAACGCGAGAAAGCGCGCGCGGAGAAAGAAGTGGAAGATGTGGAGATGAAGGAGGACGAGCACGAGCAGCGCGCGCCCCGCGAGCAGGACCAGCTCACCCTGGACGGTCTGAACATGACTTATCATAAACATAACCATAACCCTGGACGGTCTGAACATGACTTATCATAAACATAACCGATCTCGCTTTATGCCATAACAACACTAGCCTCATTGATCAGTGATGCCATGAGAAAACATGACGAGCTGTCAAAACAACACCGGCTTCTTCTGTAATCTGTTGCTATTGCACTGGTTATTATGACTAAAACGTGTTTTAAATCTGATCACTAGTTTGGTACCAGTAATATAGCAAAGCTGTGTGTGGACGAGAGCATAAAAGCAGAGCTTTCGAGAAACGCCATTAAAACAATGTTCACTCACATTAAAATAAAATGCTAGGTTAGTCTCAGTCAGTGAAGTCATCTTTGTTTCTATCGGCTGTACAGCAGATCCAGAAGAGAATAGCGTCACAGTCCAGCTTAAGTGAGTTTAGTGATGGTTCATTTTTGTTGTAATAAAGTTATTTAGTTAATTTATATATATATAGAGTTATATATCCGCTCTGGAGAAAACCGTGATGTCATCGCCCAGCTCAGTTCAGTTCTCATATAATGCTGTCGATGCAGGAGATCAATAATATTGCTGAATATTAAGTAGGCAGTGGATGTCATCATTAATATGCGTTGGCAGGCCAGTCTCTGTCATCATGTGTTCATGACCAGCTGACCGAGTCACTGAAGCAGAGAATTAGTGTTGAACTTTATTACACAATAAACAATCATTTCAACAAATATAGCAAAAATAATTGTAAAGATAGCTATGCTTTAACACTTTTTTTTTTTGTACACTTTTTTTTCAAATGGCATTGAATATTGCATTATATAACCGTAGCCACATACTTGCATCTAAATAATAATGATTGTTAGGCTCGGTGTTCTTATAGAGTGGATGTTGGACACGGGTTAGGGATAGTTCACCCCAAAATGATAATTCTGTCAGTAATTCCTCTCCCTCATGTTGTTCCAACCCTGTAAGACTTTCGTTCATCTTCGGAACACAAATTAGGATAATGTCTCTTTTACTTCCGATCCAAGCATACATTTTTAAGCATCAAGGGTTAGATACGGGTTAGGTTGGATTAGATACGGGTTGTGTTAAATTAGGGTTAGATTAGATACGGGTTAGGGTTTAGTTTTTACCCTCTAGTCATCGTGAAGGCATTGATTAGCTTGATCAGGTGTGTTAGATTAGTGGCCCTTCAGGACCCAAGCTGAAGTAGGCTGTGACGTGTGCAAAAAATGTAACAAAAATAAGCCTTATATTATGAATCAGCTTGTTTTGAATTAGAAAAGCAGTTTAAGTCAGTATATTAAAAGAGATGATGATATAAAGCAAAGCAGATTGTAACTGAGTTAAGTGTTACATTTGATTAAAGGGAATCGCAGCAACACATATTCACTCCTGATTCAGTTTCTTTTTCCTGTAAATGCAAGACTTGTTGTCTAATGTGATAGTGATCGCTGACGTGTGTGTGGTTTCTTGTGTGTGCAGATATCAGGGAGCACGTGAAGCAGATCGATAAGGCTGTTCTGGGGAAGGAGCCGAGGTTTGTTCTGCGAGCGCTGAGAGCTCTGCCCTCCACCAGTCGGAGACTCAACCCTAATGTTCTTCACAAGGCCGTGACCGGGTTCTTCACCTCCAACGCCGCGAGCAAAGAGTTCCTGCTCAGCTTTCTCGATCAGGTGGGCTCACCAGCGTCTCCCATACACCCAGCTCACACCAGCGTCTCCCATACGCCCAGCTCACACCAGCGTCTCTCATACGCCCAGCTCACACCAGCGTCTCTCATACGCCCAGCTCACACCAGCGTCTCCCATAAGCCCAGCTCACACCAGCGTCTCTCATACGCCCAGCTCACACCAGCGTCTCCCATACGCCCAGCTCACACCAGCGTCTCTCATACGCCCAGCGCACACCAGCGTCTCTCATACGCCCAGCTCACACCAGCGTCTCTCATACGCCCAGCGCACACCAGCGTCTCTCATACGCCCAGCTCACACCAGCGTCTCCCATACGCCCAGCGCACACCAGCGTCTCCCATACGCCCAGCTCACACCAGCGTCTCCCATACGCCCAGCTCACACCAGCGTCTCCCATACGCCCAGCTCACACCAGCGTCTCCCATACGCCCAGCTCACACCAGCGTCTCCCATACGCCCAGCTCACACCAGCGTCTCCCATACGCCCAGCTCACACCAGCGTCTCTCATACGCCCAGCTCACACCAGCGTCTCTCATACGCCCAGCTCACACCAGCGTCTCCCATAAGCCCAGCTCACACCAGCGTCTCTCATACGCCCAGCTCACACCAGCGTCTCCCATACGCCCAGCTCACACCAGCGTCTCCCATACGCCCAGCTCACACCAGCGTCTCCCATACGCCCAGCGCACACCAGCGTCTCCCATACGCCCAGCGCACACCAGCGTCTCTCATACGCCCAGCTCACACCAGCGTCTCTCATACGCCCAGCTCACACCAGCGTCTCCCATACGCCCAGCTCACACCAGCGTCTCCCATACGCCCAGCGCACACCAGCGTCTCCCATACGCCCAGCGCACACCAGCGTCTCTCATACGCCCAGCTCACACCAGCGTCTCCCATACGCCCAGCTCACACCAGCGTCTCCCATACGCCCATCTCCCATACGCCCAGCTCACACCAGCGTCTCCCATACGCCCAGCTCACACCAGCGTCTCCCATACGCCCAGCTCACACCAGCGTCTCCCATACGCCCAGCTCACACCAGCGTCTCCCATACGCCCAGCTCACACCAGCGTCTCCCATACGCCCATCTCCCATACGCCCAGCTCACACCAGCGTCTCCCATACGCCCAGCTCACACCAGCGTCTCCCATACGCCCAGCTCACACCAGCGTCTCCCATACGCCCAGCTCACACCAGCGTCTCCCATACGCCCAGCGCACACCAGCGTCTCCCATACGCCCAGCGCACACCAGCGTCTCCCATACGCCCAGCTCACACCAGCGTCTCCCATACGCCCAGCTCACACCAGCGTCTCCCATACGCCCAGCTCACACCAGCGTCTCCCATACGCCCAGCGCACACCAGCGTCTCCCATACGCCCAGCGCACACCAGCGTCTCTCATACGCCCAGCTCACACCAGCGTCTCCCATACGCCCAGCTCACACCAGCGTCTCCCATACGCCCAGCTCACACCAGCGTCTCCCATACGCCCAGCGCACACCAGCGTCTCCCATACGCCCAGCTCACACCAGCGTCTCTCATACGCCCAGCTCACACCAGCGTCTCCCATACGCCCAGCGCACACCAGCGTCTCCCATACGCCCAGCTCACACCAGCGTCTCCCATACGCCCAGCTCACACCAGCGTCTCCCATACGCCCAGCGCACACCAGCGTCTCCCATACGCCCAGCTCACACCAGCGTCTCCCATACGCCCAGCTCACACCAGCGTCTCCCATACGCCCAGCTCACACCAGCGTCTCCCATACGCCCAGCTCACACCAGCGTCTCTCATACGCCCAGCTCACACCAGCGTCTCTCATACGCCCAGCTCACACCAGCGTCTCTCATACGCCCAGCTCACACCAGCGTCTCTCATAAGCCCAGCGCACACCAGCGTCTCCCATACGCCCAGCTCACACCAGCGTCTCTCATACGCCCAGCTCACACCAGCGTCTCCCATAAGCCCAGCGCACACCAGCGTCTCCCATACGCCCAGCTCACACCAGCGTCTCCCATACGCCCAGCGCACACCAGCGTCTCCCATACGCCCAGCTCACACCAGCGTCTCTCATACGCCCAGCTCACACCAGCGTCTCTCATAAGCCCAGCGCACACCAGCGTCTCCCATACGCCCAGCTCACACCAGCGTCTCTCATACGCCCAGCTCACACCAGCGTCTCCCATACGCCCAGCTCACACCAGCGTCTC